GGGAGGGCGTCTGCTCGTGACCTACAGGTGAAAACAGAAAGCGCTCCTGTGAAGCCGACGCTGGTCAGAGTGGTAATGCTGCCAGCCAGAGAAGTTGGATATAAATATCCACCACACAGCAGTTTCCTCAATTTCTTCCGAAAGCAAACACTTCAGATTCAACCTTTTAATCTATCACGTCTCTCTCTTCCCCTTTGAACAGAAAATCAGGGAGTGCAAATCTTAATCTATTTCCCTAGCATCTCTATATTAAAGAGTCTTCAGAAATGCCTGGCAAAATCTTGGGGCAACTAACTCACACTGCTAACAGTAACTGTACAATTACTTTCTGTATGTATGCCACACAAGCTTATGTATTATTTTGAGACTAAGGGTGTAAAGGCGTGGGATGATGATTTTAGATTCCTAGGAGAAAATTCCCATGCCTGGAAGAGCCTTTGGAAAAAATCAAGTAGAAGAGTGATGTCATTCTGATGAAAGGCAGCCTGTCAGACAGTTGGCGACTATGGGTGCTTTTTGGCATGGGCCACAGCCCGCTTATACACCAAAATATGACATCAAAGCAGGTACCAGGCCAGGCCATGAGGCTGGCACTGATCATTGTCTTCTTCGATTACAGTAGTCTCATCTTCTTGCTGAGAGGATAAAAGAAAGCGGCTGCTTGGTGTTAAGAGAGTGTCAAAAATAATAAGGCTTGTGCCGTGTTCTAATAGTGTCCCAGTGGCTCGGTGGAGGGAAGACATACCGTGTACTCACAACATTATGGGCAGAGTTCCCAGACAGGGATTATTACTAAGACTATGCCACTTTTTAGTTGATAATTCCAACAAATGTTGCCTTTAATGTAGATCAGTTCTTATTCACTGTTTTGAAAAACTGGCACCAGGAGTTTTGACCGAACATCAATTTAGATTTCATGTCAACAACTTTTTCTTTTTTATATCTGTATTTTCCACAAAACAGAAATGTTCAAAAACATAATGGAAATCCTTGATTCCTTTTACACAGATTCTGAAAACAGCCTCAAATACAGCTCTCACATAATTGAATAAGGACCATGTTTTACAGCAGGGTGTGGACTTAAAAAGCATTTCCCCATAGAGACAACTAGGTTAAAGGATAGAAAATGAATCGTGTGTTGTGGCTCTACTGTCATGACCTGTAATAAGGGCTTTTCCATGTCCTTTGGCAAATCTCTGGCATAAATAAACATTTCCGAGACAAAAGGGCTTGATTCTCCTCCTGTCTCGCTGGAGATGAGAATAGGCGCAGGGGAAGGAGGGCTGCCGCCTCTCTGATGATAATAATAGCAGGTTTCCAATGGTAATTGGTCTCTGCTCCCTGCTCTGTCGCTACCTGGCAGAGGGCATTGCAAAGGGTGATTCAGTCTCGAGGCATGGATGGAAAACGCCTACAGAGGAAGGCCGAACACTCGCGCACCGTTACCTCTGAGGAGGTTCATTTGACTTCACTAAATCTCCTGTACAACAACACATTCCCACAAAAATGCAGGAAAACATGCATGCACCCCCACCTTGAGACACACAACAACATCTCGCTTAGTATGAATGACATGACAGAACTGTTTACAGGCAACAACAGCTATTTTGTGACCATCATTCAGGTGAAAGATCAGCAACAAACAGCTGACCTGTCAGCTGAACTATTTGATTACCCCTTGGTGCCAGAGAGACCCCTAATGCAAGTTGTCCTATCTTGAAAGATTACATTTGTATCAAACAGGGCATCATCTGTAACCAATACACAGCCTCCTCTTACGAAATGAGAGCCTGCTCGACAGATGTCTCCAGCCTCTCTTATTCTCTCTTACTCCCCATTTACATCCACATCTTAGATGGCACCTCTTGACTTAAGTCAGGATCAAGGTTGTTTACAGATTCTCTGGGTAATATCAGGAACATGTGGTGGGGGCACATGAAAGGAACTCTACAGTGTGTTGACACCCAAAACCTCTGTACATGTTTGCTTTGCGTTTTAAACAATAGTTTCAACATGAAATTAAGGGGACCTGCTTCTGAAGGTTTGCGTCAAAGTGACAGAGAACAGAAGCTAAAATGCTTTGACAGGGGAGGAAAGCGGAAAACGTCACAGCTCTCTAACATTTAAGTCAGATTTACCTGTTAATGAGGCTGTCTTTCAAATAATGCAAACAAATAATTTTTGCATGAAAAATATCTACAATATTGAATCTAATCCTGAGACAGGCAATACAAAACAATTCTAAACCTGGTACTTGCCACAGGAGAAATTACTACAATATACTCAAAACCTCTGAAGGTTTCAACAACTTTTCAACTAACTCAGAACACCTGAGTCGTATCCCATGCATTTCCAGTTCCTTTTTTGTCCTGGCTTTTAGCAGATTTCCACACTTAAACACTTTGTGGCATGATACCACTAAGTCTCAGGCTTTGCTGTGTGACCTTCATGGGCTGTAGTGCTGCGGTTGAGTCCCACAATCCCTAACCTGATATCTTATGTTTTATGCTGGTGCTGACTAGTGCTAATGCTCTGTGTAGGAGAGGGGTGGCAATGTAAGGGAATTTAAAGAAAGTCTTCTATGAAATATAAAAGTTTTATAGATGGTGATCTCTCCTTTGTTCTTCCAATGAGGACCTCCACCTGTTTCTGATGATATGAGCCAGAGCCTGTCCCTTTCAAGAGGCTGATCCCTCCTGATCTCTTTGATGTAACCTGACCTAACAGTTCCAACTAGCGGGATTTGATGATCACGGATGGACCCTCGACAACAGCATGTGCAAATCAAAACTAACAGGCATTGGGAGACGGACGATGGGGATGTGTGAGCAGAACTGGCAGGCTGTGGAGACAGAAAGAGCGCTCCCAGAGCTATGATGTGTCTAAACGCTAGGCAGGCAACGGTCACATGATCAATGCTGCCAGCCCAGACTTAAGCAGTAAAACCTGTGGATCTGTGAGGGCACATGCAACTGATCGGAGATGAAAGACAGGCTTTGACTTTCACAGGAGGCCTGGAGTCAGGGTGGGGGCTACAGGGGCACTTCTGAGGGACTGCCATCAGAACAGCTGGGTCATTTTCAAATGACCTAATTCTGGGATTAATCCGTTTGTACTTGCATGGTTACATTTGTGTCTGCGCTACACACAAACGATGGGAGGCAAAGAAAAAAGGGAGAGAGAGAATTACCAGTGAAAGCCAGAAGGGCTTAGCACTTGGAGTTCAAACAAGGTGCACAGTAGAGAACAAACCACTGTGCACCAACAGTAGCAAGGCTAACCAGCGTTTCTGTCTCCAGCCTCATACTGTATGGAAATGGAACACATCATCTACACGTCTAGTTCAGTCGAATTGCGGGCATCTCCCGCTCACACTTTTCACTCACTGGGTTGGTGGACGTTTCCACACACCGCCGGGGCATCTCTTCATGGTAGCGTGTGTCAGAGGCCAACGTCCATCTGCGAGTGATTTAAGGGTTACATTTTTGGGGATGACGTGTGATAAAACAGGGAGGTATGGGTCAAAGTGACTAGACTCAATCTGTGACAGAGCCTCTCCTCCTGGGCCCTACCACATGTTTTAATCTATACAAGCATCTGTTTGAAGTTCCCAATGAATACCATCGGTCCTGCTGCTGACTTCATATCCATCTTACCTGGTTCAGAACAGTGTGCACCCTTTAGGACCATCGATTTACCACGGGCCAAAAGGATATTTTTCTAAGAAGTTGTAAAACTGTTTTTATGTTGTTGAGCTGACAACTATGTGAGCATGTTTAAACATTTCCACATTTTTGGTAGATTTACTATCAATGTTTTTGACAGACAGCACACAATAGATATCTGAATAAACAGTCCTACCCCCATATCAGGCCCCAGGGCTCTTTCCAATCTCACTGCCAAAACAGAGACCGCATCAATAAGACATTATCAATAAGCTTTGAGTCTGTGTATGACAGCACAGCTCAGAGATACATACATATGACACAAGATAAGTATTATCCTCTTAAACTGCTCTAGAGTTAGCACATTGTTGGTTTTATACATGTACAGGTAGTGACAGTAATGCCCAGTCTGTTACAACTACACTAATTCAAAAAGTTAGTCCGTCTCACATGAGAAGAATGAGCTCAATCAAAGACAAAAGTCACCACAAAGTGTCACAGTGATGAGTAATCACTGTTATTCTTATGCAATCACTGCGGGCTACTCTTTTAACTTAAATGTGTCCTTAAAATGAGAGGTTGTTCAAGGGAAGCCTACCTCAACCGTAACAAGGCATTCCTGTGTTAAAAAGTTGGCTCCCCATCAGGATGCTCTGCTCGACTTAAAATATACAGTAGACTAGGAAAGTTTGGAAGAGACTGAAGTGGGAGGGAGGAGGCGAGGAGAGGGGGGAGAAAGAGTGATGGTTGCTTTGATCTCTGGAGGCCCCGTCTGGATACAAAAAAAGAAAAAACAAGTGTCCAAGTCCCTTTTTCTAAACCTTAAGAAAACAAGAGCAACTCAACTATGTCAGAACTCCTTTTAAGGAGGAGTTTGTGGGGTTTTTGTAAGGTGTAGGAATCTCTGATGGATTTAAATGCCTTATAACATAAATGAAATATACAATAATGATGTTACGTTATTTAAACATGTAAAGTCTGTTGAGATTATTATTTATTTTCTCGGTCAAATATTGTTGGATCTCAGCACGACTCTTGTTTTTCCCCACTTGATTTTCAGGAAAGTGTGTAACAAGATGACTATTCTCACTTCATAAATGTGTGGTGGAATGGGAAATGGGCATTTCAAGGCCAATAAAAGCCACCACATCAAATAAAACATCGCGGATCAAAAGAACCAACGCATGGACATTTTTTCCCCCTCTATAAATTAAAAAAAGGGGGGTAGTCTGCCACGCTTGATCATGCCCTGAGTCCTTCCCCGCGCCTGCGATTGGCTGGACGGACACACAAGGGGGGAAAGTTTGAATAAAATACAAGAGCATGGCACGAGTGTTGTCGTTCAAGCTTGTGCGCTTGGTCCAGCAGCGCTTGAGTTGTACTAGATAGATGGGCACATATTTGTAGGCTCTTTGAAAGTTTGAAATATATCCAGATAATCAGTTGATGACTGTGTTGCTCTAAAACGACGTCAGTTAACATTGCTTGGAGTTGATGACAAGAGTTGAGGCGTATTTTAAACCGTGCGTAATTTATTTCTCAGCTCCATCAGTAAAAGTTTGAGTTTCCCTGACGAGACATTGCATTTGGACATTTAACACCGGGATAAGATGACAGCGATCAGAATGATTTCATCAATGCTGCTGCTGATGCTGATGCAGTCCGGAGTTCTTTGCGCACGGAGGTTCCGGGGTGGCCGCAACCCACAACCACGCCGCTCGCCACCTCCTCCCACATACCGGGCGGACCGGGGGGACACCACGGAGAGCTTCCCTCTGGATTTCACCGCCGTGGAGGAGAACATGGATAACTTCATGACACAGGTGAAGAACCTTGCGCAGTCCCTCTACCCGTGTTCGGCGCAGAAGCTCGACTATGACATGAAGCTCAACTTTTTGGAGAATACATCAGTCACCTGCAACGATGGGAGTCCTGCGGGGTATGTACCAACTGAGAATACACAGTGTGATCGATCATGATTCCCATGTGATTGGATCACCGGCAGGTCAGAGCAGGCTCAGGTGTGCGCCCTGAGGCTAGAATGAATTGTTATTTACTTCAGCAGGGCGTCTCGCTGATCATCCTGCTACCCGAAGTAACCCACATGTATCTAGCCAGAGGCGGCGAGTGTGCGCACTGAAGCTCTCCTTTTCCACCCTAGTTTATTGCTTATGTTCAAAAATGGTAATCTTGAAAAAGAAATAGAAAATATGTACAATGTAAAAATAAACAAAATAAATGGGGGGGGGGGGTTAAAAAGAGAGCAATGTCCTAGGACAGAATAACAGAATGAGATAAACAGCTGCTTTGTGTCAGTGAAGCGTGAAATTTGCGGATAGCCATGGCCATATGCTTCATTTCCTTTGCTTCAAATTAGAATGCAGGATTTGCTCTGCAGAAAGTTTAAATTCAACCTTTAAGACCCCCGCCCATATCTATTTTTTGTTGCCATTTGACAGTATGTCTTGTCTACTTGGCTACTTTAGAATTCGATGTCAATGGCTCCTTGTAGTTTTTGATTTAATGGGGTAATCAGTACATTGTTTGCCATGATATCCATCATTTTTCAGCAGAAATCCATTTCCCGGCAACAAAGCCTGCATAATTTCTCAATATGAAAGTAGGATGACACTAAAAGCATATCAAACAGATGCACTACCTCTCATATTGCATAATGCTTAGTACTCTCTGTTATGTTCAATTTGAAATAAGTCAAATCAGGAGCTGAAATTCCAAAATATATTTTTATAAATGTAATATTGATAGGCACATTTAGTCATGGAAGGAGGGGGTGAATCAAATAAAACGCTGGTGTAAAATATATAATTAATCTTATTATACTTCTTAAATGACTCAAACTGCCAATGTATTTCTCTGCATCACAAGAAAAGAGTTTGAAAACCTCATAAAATCTGTGATGTGCCCCTAATTTAGTATTGATATAGGAAAATATAAAGCACTGCTGAATTGTTATCATAGGCATTATTATTTGCAAGTATTATATAAAAGCTTTACTGTTAATGTTGTATCTGGAGGCTTTGATGTCTCTGCATCAGAAATGATCTGGGACCTGTTCAGTGATGGGCAGACCTGACTAAAAGGGGTTTTCTCTATACATTTTTCTTTATGGATTTACTATCCTGTCTAATTCCTGTAAAACCTCAAAGTGCCTGGTGTCTGTTAGCGGGGTAAAGCTCTTAACCCTCTAGATACACAGCTAGGGATGGTGACTGGCAGATGGCGTTTCAGTCACTTGTCAGTCAGTTTAGATGCTTATCCATCAGCTGCTAACAGTATTTTGCGAGAGGTATTTTATCACATATGACAGATTAACAACAATGCAATGAGAAAATAATTCACTGTTTGACTCTGATGTTTCGGAGTTGTACTTGTTACCGTGAGTGGGTTGATCTAGCATGCCTTCACGTTGTTATTGGAAGTAGTGAGTAGAGTATACCATCCTCAGCCTACATTAATGACTACAAGATATTATATGCAGCCAAAGTGTGATTCAGAGTCTGGGCATACAGCTCAGAACTCCAGCCAAGGCTGTTTTTTTTTTTAAGTAACTCACATGTTTTTGGCAATCCGTGGAGTTTAGTCATTGGTGAAGTGCGGTGAATACTGATCCGTTAGAATCACAGAAGCACATTTGTAACATCTGGATTATGTGGCTAAAGCTACTCTACACATTAGAAAGTCCTGTGATCTGGTATTATTATTTGAAACAAAATCCTGTTGCAAAAAGGATGATGTGTCAGCCTTGAGAACATCCATCAGTATGGGAGAATCATGTTAGCATTGCCCTCTCCTGGGCTGATAACATACAGCACACATCTTATATTGTGACATGTATTCACTTATTTGTATAGACAGCCTGGCAAAATAATATCACTTACCCAGGTTGGATCTGAGGGGCATTTTGGGATAAAGGTTTTGACAACTACATATGTCAAAAATGTCCTCATGTCTCTTATCCTTCCTATGGGCTGGAGCCATGATTTATCAATGCCATGTGTTTATATGGGATGAGCTCAGAGTGATGAGACTATGATTACTTACCAGTGTTGCATTACACATGAGAAACATAATCTACTGGCATCTACAACACAAACAGGATAGGGGACCGTGTATCGCCCGTATGATCACCATATCAGTTTCCTGAGAATAAACTATAAACACACAACAACGCATTGTTCTCTGTTGTCCCTGGGCAGAATTTCATTTTTGCTCCCGTCTGTCACCTTTGAGAGATAGGAATCAACAAGACATCGTTGCTAAGATTAACATTATCATGTGGTATGTGTTTATATTTCATGCTCGGATACCGTCACAGATGGTAGAAACAGTGCGGGTATTACTTTCAGTGTTTACCTCATCTCTCTGAAGCACACAACTGTGGAATGTGGTTGTATCTTTCTGTTGTTTAAATAGATTATTATGTTGGCGGTAAATAAACCTTGAGGAACATAATCATATTTTTGTCGGCTATAATTTATTATTCTTTGTTTTCTCATAGTTACTACCTGAAAGAGTCTCGAGGCAGCAGACGGTGGCTGATATTCCTAGAGGGTGAGTATTCATTTATCTAATTTCATTATGTTTCTCCTTTCATGCCCACATTTAGAATAATGAGTAATTGTAGATTAAGAATGACACATATATTTTTGGTGTGTGTTTATATCCAGGTGGCTGGTACTGCTTCAACAAGGAGAACTGTGACAGCCGATACGAGACCATGAGGAGATTGATGAGCTCATCCACGTGGCCCCAAACTAAAACAGGTCAGCATCAGCTATTCTGTATTCCAACCACTACTCTGCTATAAGCACCACTGTTACTCCACCAATGGCTATAGCAAGTCCTGACCCCCAACATGGTAGAAAAAGAAGCCAGATCCCACCGTAATGTCCCAGTAATTTAAAGGATCGGATGTATCTGTCACCCCGTCATAATGTAGTTGCGGTGTAGGGCTACCTGGCGCCCGCTGCTGTAGGAACAGAGACGCCTCACCCTCTCTCATTTCAGTGTAATAACTGTAATCCATGTGGTAATGGTGATGAGGAAGAAGAGGATGTGTCTGGGAGTGCCAGGATGGCTAATGATACATGTTGATCTGTCTCTGCTGCAGGCACAGGGATCCTGTCTCCGCTGCCTGAGGAAAACCCTCACTGGTGGAACGCCAACATGGTGTAAGTTGATTAATGTTTGTGTGTTTATCAAAGCTTGATTTATAATTATGGCCCAGCAGCTTTTTAACTTTGTGTTGGTTGCGCAGGTTCATCCCGTACTGCTCCAGTGATGTGTGGAGTGGCGCTACAGCCAAAACAGAGCAGAGTAAGACACGAGTGAATCATCAAAACAAACGTGACATGTAACCCTCTTTGAGAAAAGTGACATTCTAATGTCTTTGTGTTGTGTGTAGGTGGCTATGCCTTCATGGGCTCACTCATCATACAGGAGGTTGTGAAGGACCTGCTGAACAAAGGCCTGGACAACGCCAAAGTTCTCCTATTAGCAGGAAGCAGGTGTGTGAATATTGTGATTTTCAAATAGAAAATGTTATTCATTTGATTCAAATGTACTGATAGGTATTTATAGCAATATGTCGTATTCATGAGTGCAGTGCTGGTGGTACTGGGGTCCTTCTGAACGTGGACCATGTGGCGGAGCTGCTGGAGGGACTGGGGCATACTGGGATACAAGTGCGAGGCCTGTCTGATTCTGGTTGGTTCCTGGACAACAAGCAGTACAGCTGCACGGACTGCACGGAGTGCTTGGACGCCATCACCTGCGCCCCCACTGAGACCATCAAGAGAGGCATCAAGTAAGGGAGCCGGTGATATTATCATTGAAGAATGTGTAAGATGGACTTATTTCAGTAAGGTTGCTAACATATCTGTCTTTCTCACCTGCTCATCAGGTACTGGGGAGGAGTGGTTCCAGAGAGGTGCAGGCAAACCCATGAAGGAGAGGAGTGGAACTGTTTCTTTGGATATAGAGTCTTCCCATCGATACAAAGTAAGCTTGGGGTCTCATTCTGTATTATGTAAAATGTACCTTCTTCCAACATACTTGTGTGGCATAATAATAAGCAGATCTTTAGCATATATATAGACTGCTTATTATGGCTGCATTATAGGAGGAACAAAATGCACTAACAATATTACTTGTGTTGAATAAACCGAAAATAGATTATAAGAGTTCTGCCTATACTGTTAAAGTTTATACAATGTATTGTTGAATAAATAAATGTTTCTAACTTTCTTTTATTATACACTGAACTAAACACTAAAGGCACCAATCAAAAGTGTTCTTCTACTTCAACTAACTCAACAAATCTCTTAAAGGAATTTAGCAGTCTTTTCTCGATGTGTTTATTGTGCAAGTTGACATTGAAGTAGCTATTCAAATAATGATATAGTATGCAGCCGCACTGTAAATGCACACTATGAACCTATATTAATTTTCTTCTTTCATTCTCCCTGTGCAGGCCCAGTTTTTGTTGTCCAGTGGCTGTTTGACGAAGCCCAGTTGGCAGTAGACAACATCCAGCTAACAGGCCAGCCTGTGCAGGAGGGCCAGTGGCGCTACATTCAAAATCTGGGCATTGAGCTGAGGAACACACTCAAAGATGTCCCGTAAGAACATTTCTCTGCTTTTTAGGAAGACCATTCAAGTATTGGTTAATGTTTCATGTTTTGTTTTCTTCATTCTTTTTTCCAGAGCTATGTTTGCTCCAGCCTGCCTTTCACATGAAGTTATCACCAGAAAGTAAGTATACATTTTAAAACCTGCTGTTTCCAGTGTTTCAATATCACGGAGCACTAAGCTGTGTTTGAGACCCTATACTTGTGAGCTGACAGCGCCCTCTTGTGTTGTGTTCTAGTTACTGGATTGACATTCAGGTTAAAGGCACCTCTTTACCACGAGCTCTGCACTGCTGGGACCGCAGCCTGAACGACAACAGGAACAACAAAGCTCCACCCAAGGGCTGCCCCGTTCATCTGATCGACAGCTGCCCGTGGCCGCACTGCAACCCCACCTGCCCCACCATCCGAGACCAGTTTACAGGACAAGAGATGAACGTCATTCAGTTCCTCATGCACATGGGCTTCGATGTGCAGAAGATGGCTCAGCAGCAGGGCATGGACCCCAGCAAGCTACTGGGCATGCTAAGCAGCGGCAGCTAAACGGACACGCACGCGCGCGCGCACGCACACACGCGCGCGCGCACACACACACACACACACACACACACACACACACACACACACACACACACACACACACACACACACACACACACACACACACACACACACACACACACACACACACACACACACACACACACACACACACACACACACACACACACACACACACACACACACACACACACACACACACACACACAGCATCTCCAAGCTAAGCCCAACCACGGCTGGCTGGTCTCTCTGACCGGCCCCCCATATCTGATACCCCCAACTCCACCTTCACAACCCATTCTACCTGTAGTCTACTCACAGGGGCTTAGATTTGTCCCACAATCCCTTTCCTCACAACTGGTGACAAGTAACAGGGGCAACACAATACCAAGAAAAGGCACAACTCTCTGCTACTCTCCTTTTAAATTATCTTTTGCTTTGTAAAAAGAAAAATATCACGAATGTAATCCAGTTTTAAGGATGCTCATTGATGTTTTGTTTTTTTATATTATATTCATTCTACTTTATAGATTATATTTTGTCATTGTTTAACGAGAAAAGAGGAGACACCATAAGGATGTAAGGATGCTGTCTTTGTTACTATAGAGTATATAACGTTTTTATTTTTGTTTAATACTGTTTAATAGTTTCTCATTACACAAAAACTACATCAAGGCAGGGGCATATGATAAGGTGAGGAAGGCACTGGATCGGAAAAAACATTTTGTATTTGTCTAAGAAATAATGGCAAGAAGGATAGAAATAAACCTAGATTCCTATAATCAGCCTGCGGTAAAAGACCAGGTTAACTTAACACACCCTCAAAGTTAGGCTGAAAATAAAGCTGAAAACATATCATATTTTATTCTTTGTTAATTAAAGTACCCAGAATAATAAGTCAAACAAGAACCAAATACAGACAATGCCATATACTTTATATATGCTTTTTGATATTATCATGGATTGAAATAACTATTACGGTACGAATTAGCATATATTCTACAGCTGTAAAGACAATGCCTGGTTTGGTGGTTTGAAGTTGATTGTGGTTCTAACCTGGAAACACTAACAGTCTATCATTAGATATACATAAACCACATTACATCTCATCTTTACCTATTTCTCACATGCTACATCATCCCAAGACTGTTGAAGACTTTGAGTACTCATTCTTGTTGGGTCAGTAGTAGTCAGTAACAATCCTCAAATCAATGGAATGAACATTTAAAGGGAGACAAATATTGTGTATTGTATATTTGTTGAGTATTTGTATAGGTTCTTTCAAGTGTTCACTATTGTAACTCCCTTCTTATATATCATAATAGAGATCACTTTTTAATATAATGATAGTGTTGTATCTAATGATGTCCTTATAAATGATGTTTTCAAAGGACCTCTATTTTGCATCACACCAGAGAAGGAAAGGTATTACTAATAGTAATTTTATTCTGTAACATATTTTTTCACAGAAAGAAACTCAAGCTACATTGGTAATTTACATATTTATTTTGTTATGTAAATCATATTTATAAGTGCTATTTACACAGAGAAGTGATTCTTTGTAAATTGTAAATACATTGCTGTTTTTTCTCTTTGTGTTGATTGCATGTCTTTGTATCAGACCTAAAAGAAAAGACACATTACATATACTACTAGCTAAATATTGCTGTGAAGTCTTGTTATTATTATTATTATATTATAGATAGAAGTATTTGTAAGAGCAGAAGTTGTAGTAGAATAGGCATCAGTAGTATTTGCACATTCTCCATTCTTCCATGACTTGCAGGAGGTAAGGTCAGCAGCTACCTCAGGCTCCACACAGTGTTTTACCCCACTGATAACTATCATCATCTGATAATAGATATAAGGCTTAGTGTATACAAAGTCAGCTAAAGGTTTTTCAACAATTTATATTTTAGCAGCTTTGCAAAAGATCGGGAAAAAAAAAAGTGGCTCATTTCAAGAAGTAGTTGAGGTGAAAACGAGAAATATTGGCTTTTATTTATAAAATAATTACCCATAACTAACTGGTCATATGAAACTTCAAAGAACTGTTCTACAATACATTAAAATGTCTTATATAATAACTTGCTGAAGCAATCCCTGCTTTGACACCTATATCCCATCAGCTGCTTTTACATAACAGTTACAAAATCTGCACTGTTAACAAGGTGACTTTTATATGTCAACTAATATGTTACAACAATCTTGTGACCCCTATAGCTGTGTCTTCTGTTTACCGCACTCACTATTTTTATGATGAATTTATTTTGATTAAAATGTGGGTTTTAATGACCTATTCACACATGCGCTCACATTTCAATGAAAGGCACTTCCCTAACCATCACAAGTAATTTGGGCTCATAATCCTCTAATGTGCCAAACATATGACTGAAAGATAATTAAGATCCAAGGGAGAGACGACGTTTCAACACGACTGTCAGAATGGGGAAACACATAGAAAACCTGTTGATATCAAGCCAACAGCTGTACTGTTATCAATGGATTATCTGTTTAATGACTATTTCAAACGTAATGGATCCATTAGGTTTCCTTTGCAATATAATCACTTCAGAAACAAAACAACATAGCAAAATCGTAAAATGAAAATATACAAGTACATGCACTGCCTCAATCAAGTGTAATACATTGCAGGGTTAAGGTAAGGAGGATAGGAGGCAAATACAAGTTCCATGCTGTTGTAGTTAGCAGTAGAATTGATATAAAGTCAGTCATCTCTCCATGACTATCATCAATGTATCTTTTCACAAAGAAATCGAGGACAATAATGTGTTAAGGTTGGATTAGAAATGAATTTCTCTTCCTGTAGACCTGTATCAAGACAAGCACAAGATGGGACACTGGCCATTGGGGTCTTATCGATGGATTTTGTAGTTTGGACAGGCTAATTGGGCATAACAAAACATGACTTATAGGTCACTGTACTAACAGGAAGTGTTGTTTTTTTATATTCTAGCACCTTTGAAAGGTAACATCTTTTTGTATTATTTTGTATTTGAAATGGTCATCCTCCAACAAGAAATCTGAATACCACACAACTGATAGCAAATTAGTGGAAAAGGGTTGAGCTGTAATAAACTAGACTTCACATGCTGTTAAAATGAATATGTTCACCTTGCACACTGTAACTAAAAAATCCCAGCATACTAATATCACAGGTTGGCGTATTTTAAGTAACTACTAATTTATTCCCACTTCCCTCTCACATGCATCGCTCAAATCTGCCATCACTTGTACATAATCATCCTTCTGGCCCTGTATGTAATTTTTGCCTCTAATGGGAGTCTTAGCCTCACTCCCTGTCATTACACTGCACATAAATGCCAGTTTCTTTCTGAGGGTGCTCTGACTCAGCCTCCCTGGGTGCTCCCTAGAAATACGACTCCCATACTGCCTGCCACATGTAGCCTCCCACCCTTCTGTGGAATATAGACCCCCTATTTATAGAGCTGGCGGGGCCTGTAACCCTGGTCTGGGCACACACTTTCATTTAAACAACCCCTTGAGTGCGCACTGACACACACAGCAGGAAGAGGGTGTGTGTTTGTGTGCGCAAGAAAGAGTGGGAGACTAAATCCAAGAGGGAAAAGGATACAGAAACAGCAAGACAAAGAGCAAGAGACAGAGCCAACAGTTTCAGTTATTTGGATGGGCAGTTGGGGGCCTACTGTGAACAATGTACAAGGACTGAGTTGCGGAGTAATGGAACTTGACTGACAGGACAACAAACCAGTCCACCTGTCCAGCACTGCCGGCTATTGTTGGAAGATTGATCACTGTATACGACTTTTAGAGGACCTTCGACACTTTGAACTTTTCATACACTGGACAATTTGGGGATTGAAGAGAGCACGCAAGGAAAAACCACGATTTCTGAGGACAAACACTACAGCTTTGAGTAAGAACTGGAGCAAATTCGTCATTATAACATAAACTGTATAAAAGCACTGATTCCACTGTTATATGATTTACAGAAATAATATTCTGTATTCATAATGTATAGGCTTGTGCAGCCAAGAAAAGACATTCAGATCTTAGATAATCTTATGTTAAGGTCTCAATAAATAACCTTTACGTTTACTGTGCAAACTTCTACATAACAGTGTATAAATGTGTCTTGATGTTAAGCACACTACTGTAATTACAAAGCAAGCTTAGGCGAACATTACAGACATTTATAATTAAGGACCATCTATAAAAAGGCAACCAAGGAAAGGGTGAAGTCTGTGCCCAACAAAAAAAGAGTGGGCCACAAGGACAGCACGTCAAGAATCTCACCAAGAAAAACAGCTGCTTCTGGGAGCCTCGACACACAAGATGGATTCTAATGGAGGACACTACCTCAACAAAGAAGCTGTGCTGTCACCTTTAGGAATATCCCGAATGTGCCAGCTGCTCCTCGGTTGCACCATAATGGCCCTTGTCTCTCACAGCGCAGGCTACAGCGCCAGCTATGGACAATTTTGCATGTTTGTGTGGTGCTTCTGCTTTGCTGTCACACTGGTTGTGTTCACCCTGGATATCACACGGCTCCACGCATGCATGCCTATTTCCTGGGATAACTTCACCGTGGCCTTTGCCATGCTGGCAACACTCATGTATATCACTGCCTCCGTGGTCTACCCTGTTTACTTCCTCCAAACAGAGTGCCCTGATGAAAGCTGTGAGGTTCAATTCTACCGCATTGCTGTCACTGTCTGCTCCAGTGTCTGCTGCTTCCCCTACGGTGCTGAGGTTTTCCTAACTCGAGCAAAGACGGGAGCCGTGGTGGGTTACATGGCTACTGTTTCCGGTCTACTCAAGGTAGTCCAGGGTTTTGTGGCCTGTATCATTTTCGGGGCCCTGGCCAATGACAGTGAGTACACCCTCCACATTGCCACTCAGTACTGTGTGGTGGTGTACAGCCTGTGCTTCACTATTACTGTCATAGTAGTGGGAGTGACAGTTTCCGGTAAGACCTCTGCCCTGCGGTTCCCCTTTGACCGGTTTGTGATCGTCTACACCTTCTTCGCTGTGATGCTTTACCTCAGCACTGCCCTCATCTGGCCCATCTTCAGCTTTGACAGGAAGTACGGCACCTCTACTCGTCCTGAGGATTGCCCACGTGGAGAATGTCCCTGGGACAGTAAACTCGTTGTGGCTGTGTTCACCAACGTAAACATGATCCTTTATTTTGTTGACCTTGTTTACTCCCAGAGGATTCGCTTCGTCTCCAGCTCTGCTGTCTGAACCTAAAGACTCTCCTAAAGACTATAGACTCAAAAACCACATCCACCTTGCTCTCCTCATTCAAGTGTCTGTGAAGGACTCAATCCCTTGGATCCATAGATCTATGCTACCGTATCTATGTGGACTTTTTTTTATCAGTATTAATTAAACTGCCTATAGGCAGCAAAATTAACAGTATTATCCTATTCGAACAACAAATAAAGGCTTTTCCCAAGGTTCAGCAGTGACTTACCAGGAAGACCAGGTGCGCCGACGATCTAATCGTAGCAACTTTGTTCAAAGAGGATTCTGGGAACTTTGTCCAGTTTTGCACCAAATACATCCCTCTGCTCCAGATTCCTTTGCTGGTTGCAAACAGGAAGGACCTACGGGTGTGTTCAGAGTACAGAGGCTGAACCATAAATGTCTGTATGACTCAAATGAAGGAAGATATATCTTACAAATAGCATAGGCTAAGTTTACAGTATGCACTGAACATAGCTTTTGGTTCAGCTTTTTGACCATTTTGTTGTATCTTGTCCCACAGTTTGTCATCATACACTGCATGCAATGCAAAAGTTGAAGGTCATCAGGCTTTCCTGTCTTCGGCTGAATGTTAAATGTATCTGATACATGATTTTTTGAAAACAAGACATTTAACAGCAGTATTACATATCTCGATATCTCTTATTTTGCTATATTTCTGATAGATAATGTTTCATATTTAATAAAATATCTAAAAGTATGTTTTGTTGGTCATTTTATTTCTTTGCCCTTTGCTGTATGAGTAAGGTTATGTTTTGATATGTGAACCTTCACTTTCACTTTCAACAACTCTTCCTAAACAGTGACATGATTATTAGCAAGGGTTCAAATCAAAATCGAAATGGGTAGTTATGTTGATTGTTAAAGCAGTAATGATTCAGCCTGAGTAGGCTAATTGAAATGAACATATTTCAATATTAAATAGCACACCAGAGTAATTTATAAATATGTTAAACTGCATGGTGTCTGTAGATTACAGTGTTAGAAAACATGCTTCTCAGAAATGTTGTCCCTTGTCCATTCACATTGGAAGGAATTCCGTTCTCTGCATCGGTGGGTTTGGGTTTTGTTGACATAAAATTAATGGACAAGACAAAATGTAAAATGTTCAGGCACTGAAGAGTAACGCAAACATTGTATTTACTCCGGGGTGTTAACTAGGCGACTTCGGTCAGACTACTTGTCTGTCTCCTTGAAAGTGTTAGTTCTTTACAGTGACATGCCTTTCAAAATGTCCCACAGTAGATGATAGTTTATTTTATTACCTACCGGCATACTCAACAACCTTTCTCACCCTGGCGAAACCTGACGCAACTAGGCATTCGGGTTTTTAAGAACCCGCCTAAAAGTGACTACCAACAACTCTGTGATTGGTCAGAGGCGCTACATATTGCCTAAACGTGCATGCTCATTGGCTTATTCACTTGTCAGTCAGGTACAGTAGAGCGCGACACAGATGAGCCACGTTGACAGAGTACATATTTTAGGTGTTTCTGTTAAAAGGTTGCTTTATTTGTCGGTCTGTCGGTCAACTTCGCGGCGACTTCAGGATATATTTGTAAGTTTACCTACTGTATAACAATATGGCTGCTGCCAATGTCGTTCGCTTCGCTTAATACGGAAGTAGGGTGTTTGTTTACTACTACATCACAACGTACGTGGCTGCCAGAAGGATATAGGCTGCAAACCATTTGTTAGACCTCGTCGTTATCACCTGTCTATGTTGAGAGATAATTAATTCATCCATAAAGTTTTGCTCTAAACACACACCGGTACAATGAGTGTGGGTTTCATTGGAGCAGGCCAGCTGACCCACGCTCTGGTCAGAGGCTTCTCAGCTGCAGGTGAGTTTATACTTTACCATGTTTGTATTTTAAAGATTGCACTTGTGTTGTTAGTGTATGTTGATTGCAATCAGACACTGAAATGATTTTTTGGACATTTTGTCCACTTTAAGGCGTGATTGCCACCCACAGAATCACAGCCAGTTCCCCAGACACAGATCTCCCCACAGTACAGGGACTAAGGGTAGGTAGACCATTAGGAATCAATACTTTGGTAAATCAACAATTCTGTTAATTTATGCATGTGTTTTTGAGATGGAAAACATTCTTTTACTTGCATTGTATACTGTCCAACAAAGTAGAAACGTGTATCTTTTTTTTACAGAAATTGGGTGTCAATTTCACAACAAGCAACAAAGAGACAGTGAGCAAGAGCGATGTTCTCTTCCTGGCCGTGAAGCCCCACATCATCCCTTTTGTACTGGATGAGATAGGACCAGACATTGAAGATCGTCATCTTATTGTGTCCTGTGCGGCAGGTGTCACCATCAGCTCTATAGAGAAGGCAAGTCAAAGCCATCTGCATCCACGTGTTACAAACTGTAAATAGTCAAACTTGACATAATTTACAATATATATATATATATATATATATATTATGTATATTCACTCAATATTTCATTATACATATGAAACATATCTTGGATAATGACCATTATTGCATGTATAAATATTACTTGTATGAAGATAAAGGTGATGTGGTTTGTATACAGCATGCACCTGAAAAAGTCAAATAACTATGTACTTTACAGCTATAGTATAGATCAGGGATGGGCAACTTGGATGGTTGTGGGGGCCACATAATGTATGTACTGGCCACCAGGGGGCCGCAGGTTCACTTGGAACACACACACACAAATTCCATGTATTGTATGTAATTATTAACAAATATACTAAGTCTAACATCTTCATTGACATTTTACAATCTTTCAGGGAACATCCTCTAATAAAATATCACAAATATCAGTTCACATAAATGTTATTTGATTTTTGCAAGTGGCATGTTTGTATTGAACAGGTTATTCAACAGTGGAATACAACTATTTTAAACTATTGGAAAGCACGGAAAATGTGTGTGCATTAAGATGACATAAACATGAAGTCATGAACACTAACCCAGACATTAGTTGTCTAACTTGAACCTAAGATACAATAAGGGGAATGTCAACACAGGCACCTGTCAACCCGCACTCTGCTGTTCCTCAGCGCCACTCCGCCTCCCGCTGAAATTATAAATGGAAAGCGTATAGTAATCATAGATAACACGGCAGGGTCCGTGCCAGTTTTTTTTCATCTGATTTCAAATAAACAAAGTCTTGGTTTTTAGAATATTAAACTTATTTTCGCCTAATTCAGATGATAAATACAACTTTTAAGCTTGTAAAGGCATGATTACAAGCGGTAACTTAACGTCACAGCAGGCATAACAACAGCCGGTGTTTCTTGTGAGTGTTTCCCCGGGAAACAAACACAATTCACACAAGCGCGTCACAGATTATTTTGCGGTATTTGGCTGCCGAACGCATGCGGCCCCCGGGCCGCCATTTGCCCATCCCTGGTATAGATGATGGCTAAAGCTTGTAAAATGTTGGTTATTTCGTTTTTTTACCACAAGGCTCTTCCTGTATTTCTGCTCTCATATGCTGCAGACCCTCAGGCAACACAATCACATGCTGTAACATGACAGTAGTTAGCTGCTTGAACCCTAAACACCCATGGCTGCAAGCCTTTGTACTGAATTCTGAATTATTGCTCTGATCTGATTTTGTTGAAAGGCTGTTCACATTGTTTTTTTGTAAACATAACCAATTCGAGTCAGAGCAGAGGCTGGTGGAATTGTGACGTAATCAGTTTCATTGAAACCGATTGACAGATCTGTCATTACCACTACCTCTGCAAAAGACTTGCCAACAAAAGAATGGTGACAAAAGTTGATCTAAAGTAAAATAAAAGTCTCATGAGTTCCCACATAGATTGTCAGACTGAGGTTGCTTTGCAAAAATATCAGACCTGTATCTAGTTTAGGACCACATATAATCATCTGCATTGTGCATAGCCAAAGATATGTTGTCTTTAAAATGATATTACATGGCAGAACAAAGCAAATGAAATGTCAACTACTTTGATTGACTATTAACATTTAGTTACTTTTACTAAGAGGAGTGCAAATGATCCTATCAGCGCCATTTTCCCGATATTTTCAGGACAATTTATTCAGTACATTGTTTTCCCCTACAGAAGCTGCAGCTGTATCGTGATTTTCCCAAGGTAATGCGGTGCATGACAAACACTCCGGTGGTGGTGCGTGAGGGGGCCACCGTGTACGCCACAGGCACCCATGCAAAAGTAGAGGATGGACAGCTTCTGGAGCTGCTGATGGCCAGTGTAGGATACTGCACTGAGGTAGAGGAGGATCTGATCGATGCCGTCACCGGTCTCAGCGGCAGTGGTCCTGCTTACGTGAGTCATTTATATAATGTTCAGCGTGTTTTTCAATGTTGCTTGATCATTTGTAATCACATGCTACTGTGGGGATTGTCCACAGTATTGAGTATGTAAGTCGCTTTGGATTAAAGCGTCTAACAAGTAACATGTAATGTAATGAGAAGTTTAACAACTATGCAACTTGCAGGCATTTACGGCTGTAGATGCTCTTGCTGATGGTGGAGTGAAAATGGGCCTTCCCAGGAGACTGGCTGTACGCCTCGGAGCCCAAGCCTTGCTGGTATTACTTTTATTTATCTTTTAACACATGTATGTGTTACATGTACACTTTCTTGTATGGTATTTGGTTCCTTTTAGAATGTTACTATTGGGGTGGTTTAAATTATGTTTTCCAAGCTTTGCTGTGATGTATTCATATACTGTCTCCGTCTTAATTCACTCTGGTACATTTTCAGTTTAATTGTATTGGTAAAATCTATAAATCAAGATTCAGCTTTGACAGGTGTTGACCTCAGTCTGTCTCGGTTGGCTATGGACACAGTATGAATATATAAGTTGGATATGACATCAATGGTGTGTTAGTCTAATGTGCATCTTGTTGTGTTTCTTTCAAGGGGGCTGCTAAAATGCTGTTAGACTCAGATCAACACCCTGGCCAGCTCAAGGACAATGTGTGTTCACCAGGGGGCGCCACCATCCATGCCCTGCACGTCATGGAGAGTGGTGGCTTCCGCAGCCTCCTCATCAACGCTGTAGAGGCATCCTGTGTTAGGACTAGGTAAGTTGATAAGGAAAGAGGGAGACAAACAAAATAACAAATCATATTTCCTGTCACGGGGATACAGAACAAATGCTTTTAAGTTAATTGTCATATTCAAATGACCAAAGGGTGATATATTTATTTTGAAGTGTATAACTTAGACCGTAGATGGAGCTATATTAAGCATTAAATAATGTTATGGCGAGAGTTTGTCCTTTTCATAGTTACCTAGTGGTGAGATTATTATTAGGCTAGTATACTATGATTTGCTAAATATGTATGTTTCTTACTATGTTGTAAATATATTGTCTTTTCCTGCGCTTCTCTAAAAGGGAACTTCAGTTTTTGGCTGACCAAGAGAAAATCTCCTCAGCTGCCATTAAGAAGACAACTCTGGACCAAGTGTTGCAGCAGCCAGGATTGATTCCAGAGGGTGTCGAAGTCAAATCTCATGGGATCAGTATGTTCCACAACAGTAAGCCCAGGACCAGAAAGAAGTGATTTATTGTCAAGCTTTGAAACGGTACATTTGATATGCTCTGCATTTTATGCTGTGAATTAACCACTACTGGCAGATGTTGTGGGAACAAAAGATAACCTTTGGGTTATGTTTTTATAATAAAACATCAATATTTGGGATGATGCTGTAAAAACTGTGTAAGCTATATTTCTTTCTCTAATTAAATAATTGTCCTTTGTCAGGCGTGGAGACTAGCCTATAATAACGGTTGCTATATCTGTTGTTACTATGGCTTGAACAAATTCAGTCAGGCGTTGCTGGTGTTAGTTGGCCAAGTTAGTTGTACTAAATAACAATGTCTTTCAGTGGTATGCAGTAAATCAGTGAGCCCTTATTCCCTGAAAGTGCAATTACAAATACACGTGTATTCATGCGATCTCACAATTACTTTGTTAAAAAAAAATGTACATTGCATATCAAACCTTTATTTAATCAGATTGGTCCCTTGAGATCATATATCTCTTTTTCAAGGGAGACCTGCAGCATATAGGTTCCACATGAAACATAAAACAATAAAGGACATCATATATTATGATGACATGAAACTGTGAGATTGTATGGTTTTATTAATAAAAAAACAAATAGTAATTGTGTGGTTATTTGAGTGACATTGGCTAGTGTTAGATACAGTGAATGCCAACAATAGTTTTTACCAGTCAACATACAGTCATTAGAAGCTCCTATGTACCAAAAGGTGGTATATTTTTGGTTAAAATATGTTCTTCTTGTGCGGAAAGAAGATCCTTCATGAATGAAGGCACGTGACCAAACACGATGACGTCTGGCTTCAATACAAGAGAAAGGAATCAACAAGGAGAGCACGAGCTGGCATTTGGAAGCGCTGCCGCTTCTGTCAGTGAACCCGACATTTAACTGTCTCTAATGTTTGCTCACCGCCGTGACGGTGTAAGAAGGGGACCCTGACGGAAACAACTTAAGAAAGCGTAATTTTTAAGTCAGGTGGGTCTGTAAACCAAACAGAGTCGGTGTTGTTATGCTGAGTATGCATGCCTTCGCCTCGCCGCTGGCCGCGGCTAGCTGTAGGGTTAGCATACCTAGCTTCTTCTATCTCTCCTGGTCAAGTTTGCCCGATTCATTCCAGCCTTGGTTTTTCAAAATACGAGAGCCCGTACTATTCAAGAGGTTTAACACACGTGTTCTCACAAGTGTTGGCTTTATTTTGAAACCTACAACCGGAAGTGTGTGTGTAGCCGATGGGAACTGAACGGTTCGGGCTCCTACTATGCTGAGATGGCAGCTCGTAATCTGTTTTACACACATGAGCAGCGAATAAAACATGTCAAAAATATTTTCTTTTTATATAGAGTTATGTCCGGCTGTTTGGAGGTAAAACTGTGATTTTGTCGGTTATTGAATGGCTCGTGGTGCTGTGTTGCTACTGTTATAGTAGGAAGGCTGAGCACGGGGATTTCCTCGCCTGCTTGTTTAGTAGGCGGGGAGTTGTTTGCCACTTTCACAAGCAGGCGTAGAGAGGTTGCAGACAGCCGTGGAATGTCAAAAACTGTGCAACTAGGTTTCCTTTGTGATAAACAGTTTGGTGTCCACTGTATCACAGCGCTTCTTGCTGGTTTGTCAACTCATGCGCTTCTCGCTGTTCAAACCTGCTGCTTCATCACCTCGTTGTGAAGAGAAGCGAGAGCCAGCCGAGGCAGCGGGTTAGCCGGATCAGGTTGGTGTTCAATATTTCTCCTCATGTTATTCCTGTCAAACGTGAATGTGATTGAGAAATATGTGCATTGTGGTGTGCTTTTGTGCAGCTTTTGCAATGCTTGCATGTTTAAATATTTTAGGAAATGCTTCCAAACCATCGTTTCCGATTGAATTGGTTCACCTGAAGTGACTATTCATTAAACCACTGGTTAAATTGTAACAATGGCAGTGGCAAACCCGCCGTCCTTGGCTTTATTACCACAGCCAGGCAGTTAACCACATTGATGCTTTAATGTCAAAGGCAACAAACAAGCAGCGGTATTCTTTTATCGTGCTGAATCATCATATTGATGTATTTAGACGTTCTCAGAATCCACCCCGAAATATGGCACCACCGGACAAAGGTCTGCTCGGTGGATAAGGGTCGATGTTTATCACCAAGCCGCCGTTATTAAAGAGATGGATCGAAAGGGTGCTGATCTGTCGTGCAAGTCAGTCATCAAGCCATGAGCATCAAGTGATGACCATCATGCATTTATCAATAGCCTAATCTACATTCAGTTCCGAATGTGCATTTTATTGCAGTGCTGTCATGATGTACTTCAACAAGTCAGGGTGCGAGTGCATTTATATTAAGTGCTTAGATGTCAACTGCGATGTCAAATCCATCTAAAGAAATGCATGATAAGCAATATATTATGCCTGTGTTGTTATAATGGAGTCCCGCAATAAGTGACTGTTTAATTTGGATCATGTGTAATCATGGGAAGTTTATAAAAGAACACCTAATGTAGGCAGTATTTGAAATAAAATGCTGGTATAAATCATTGTGTCGGTCGTGTGCTTTTTTTATTTTTGTTATTGAATAGTTGAATTACGGGGTGCCAGCTTGCTTGTGATATTATTCAACGCAATATAACACTTAATTCCTTTTATTTTTGGTTGGCAGATGCTCTTGTTTCCCTGTGTGTGACATGATGAAATGTGCTGCCTATTAGAGTGCACGCTTATGGAGGGCAGGTGATGAATTATCCATGGCGAATCTCTGTGCAATTGGAAAAGTCACCTTGGAAACTGTTGAGCATATATAGGCAGGGCTAAACAGATAGAAGTTGCCCATTCTTGCTCAGATATCCAACTTGTTTCATCATCTCTGTTCATGCGAGCAGGGCATTGAAGTGTGCTTAGCAGACAGGCCAGTCCAACATCGGAAGCTTGGCTTTGCAATAAAGCGTAATGCCCGCCTCTGCCTCTCTCTGCAGGTAACAGGAACAGATGAGGGCCCGTAAGAGCCCGATGGGGCTGACAATGCAGTGAGGATGGAGGCAGGGAGTGGTGGAGATCAGCTCTGAGATTTATCACCACTTGCATTGAGTTAGCCATGATAAAATAAGGCTGGGTACCACAGAGGTGAACCGAGTGCACAACTCATACCCAGTGGCGTTGCTCAGACTGGGCAGGCGGTGGAGGGTGGAAGGGGATATTTGAGGTTGATGAAACACAAGGCAAGACTTTGCACAGAACACTGGCCACCAGCACCTCTGTATGGCCAACACAGCTGTGCCTTGGGAGCAGTTACGTCTATCCAGGACAATTAATAGCCTCCAGAAAGAAACACAAGTGTGGGATTTGCCCACAAAAGCACTGCTTAAGCTGCACGGGGAAATGGGAATGCCTGGAAGCAAGGGAGAAAAAGATCAATATAGTTTTTCTTTCCCCCCTTTTTTGCAATAGGGAGGGAGTGTTGGTGATGAAACCTCTTGCAAGTGTAGTGCAGATTATGATTGCTTAGCATTGCGATATGCCCGCTCTACTTCTGAAAGTAATACTTTCATCCAGACAGAGTAGCAAGTGTGTTTGATGATTTTGTGTTTGGAACTTGAGTTCGACTTGGCATGTTCATTACTGCTCTCTGTGTGTTCATTATTTAGATTAGCCAATATTGGACAGAAAAGCATAAGCATGGAACTGGCTGCTGTTTCTCATGTAACCTACTTTTATCTCGGCTGATTAATGTTTAAGGCATGTCAGTGGTGAACTGACATTAAAAACAAGTGATTTAACTATACATGTATTTGTGTAAGGGGCTATGTCAAAAAGAAAACGAGCCAGGGAAGAAGTTGTCAGGTTTCATGCCTTTCTGAGAATGGGAGAATGTTCTGATATGTTCTCGGCTGGATATGGATACGATTTTCTAAGGAGGTTAAAGATAGCAAGACCTTGTTCTAAGATAAGCAGTGTATAACCCACATTGGAAAGGAGCTCACGCAGATCATTAGACGAACATTAGTACTGTCTGTTTTGGTCAAAAGGTAACCGATCATTTGATTAAAAAAATGCTATACTTGCAAAAGGACACATTGGCATTATTCAAATGTTATAAATGAGGTATATATTTAAAAAACATTTGAACAAATACAAAAGGGAAGGGACACAAATGAAGTCAATAAGAATCTCCCTGTGTGATGTCTATTGCTGAATACAACATGCAGTTATTAAGTTATATATTTATTAACGATTTGTCTGAAGCGCCACAGATGGAGCCGGTTGGGGTTCAGTTTCTTGCTCAGGAAAAGATATTTCAGAATCAACTGTTGCGAGCAAACTGGGTGCTTTGGGGATCAAACTTTTAACATAACTCAAAACAAAACAACAAAAGAACCTTCCTCTTTCTAACTATTTTGATATTTGACATCTGTTCCAGTACTCTTAGTTTGAGTTCAGGCTAAAATATGTGAGGAGCAAACAGTAGCATTACATCGACAATCTTTTATAGTTATAATTATTAGTACTGATGCATGATTAGTAAGTCAGACTGCATTCTAGAGCGATGTCATTGTAAATTCTTTAATTAAATTTTTTGGACAAAACGCATGGAGTGTGAGGCTCCATGAAATATCCTGTCGTCAGACCTCATCCATCACAAGCGGTCATTTGAACTGAGCGGTAAGAATGTTATTAATAGAAATGAGCATCTTTGGTATTTCCAGGTAATAACTTTAGCTAAGTGACTGCATTGGAATCGAAGCACTCCACAGGAATGAAAGATGATTCATTTGTTATTCTTTTTGTTTGTTTTTTACACTGATGCTGCTAGGCTCTGTTGGTTTGATGGCCATATCACAGAATTGTTTTGAATGTAAGAGAATCCAGCTAAAATCCTAGCTGTTCAGTGGTACCAGTCATCAGCGGGAATCATTTAGATTTGACTTTAAGTAGCATTAAAATGTGTTGAACTGCTCTAGTCTCTGAGTGCTGCAAAGACTGCCTGGTTGCTGTTAGCTCATTGCAAAATGCATTTAATATGTATGCAGCTAGTGTAGTAAAGCTCCTGGATATTTTTGCCAATGTGTGGGCTGCCTGCAACCCTTACTTCCTCTGCCAGTGCAAGGCCGAAGTATCAATTCTCTTCCTGTTTAATCAAGTCCTCCAGGCAGATAGTGGGAGGCCAATGAAGTCTCT